CCCCAAAACCCCAAAACCCCAAAACCCCAAAACCCCTAGATTTAATATTTGGCTGAAATAAATTTTTAACTCATGATTAAAACGAGTACATTAGAATCAAAAGAATTCAATTTTGAATTTCTTGAAGACTACAAAGACCTCGAAAGGGACCTGTCATCTCTTGTAGAATCAGAAGAGAGGCTTATTCAGCTGTCTGGGCTAGATCCATCAGACATAAAATCTTACCCAGTCCAAATAGACTATTCTCGGGAATCCAGTCAAGAAAATACTCAAGAATCGGGAGGGTTTTGGGGATTCTTCAAATCATTTTTCCGCTGAAGACAAAAATCTGTTATTAAGGAGAAATCCTCTGTGTATTTATGGACCTATGAGTTTGGAGATCCGACCAAGCCAACTCTAGTCTTCCTCCATGGCTATATTGGAGCTAGTCTGCTTTACTTCAAAGGATTCAATTTTTTGAAACAGCACTTTCATGTTTACATGGTAGATTTACTAGGAATGGGAAGAAGTAGTAGATTGCCTTTTGACTGTGAGAATTATGAAGATTGAGAGGAATGGTTCAATTCTTCAATCCATGCATGGATCAATGCTATGAGTATTAACAAATATGTCCTTCTCGGACACTCCTTAGGAGCCTTCATTGCAGCCAAGTATGCTACAAAATATCCTGAGGGAATCATTAAGCTTATCTTGCTTTCATGATACTCAGTTGAGAAGACCTCAGATAGAGACCTTGAGAAATATTATGAAAATCAAAACTCTGAGCCCTTCGGGCCAAGAATGTTCTCTAAAGCTCTTGATTTCTTCCTTGATCAAGGTTATTCTCCTTGCGGATGGATGAGATATGCAGGCAAGAAAGTATCAAAGATGGTATTAAATCAGTGCCTTGATGTGTATAAAAGAATGCTTAAAAGAGAAGAAATTGATGCTATTGGAGACTACTTAACAAACTTAATCCAGCTAAATGGAAGTTCTGAGTACTGTGTACCAATTATGTTTCCAACAAAGTCTATTACTAAGTATGCTCTCTGGCATGATCTGGAAAATCTAAAGAAGCACAATATTGAATTATCTTTTTACTATGCAGATGATGATTGGTGCAATACTGATTATAATGGAAACTTAGTCTCAGATCAACTTAAGGAAGAAGGATATAGAGTTTACATAATTCCAAAGAGCAACCATCAACTTATGGCTTCAAACTCTCAAGAAACCTGCAGGTCTTTATTTGATGACATCTCAAACAGCGAAGCTCTTTCTATTCTTAATAAATCCTTCAAATAATTTCATCTAAAAGTACTTATCTCCCAGTCTCTGCTCCTTTTCATCCCCTTAAAAATCTCTAAATCCCCTAAATTTCCCTCAAGAGTACCCTCATCACATCTGAATTTCTCTGTTTCCTCCAACAACACTGGTTACCCCCTCCAAGCACTAACGATGGCATTTCAACTTGGCTTTTCTCTGAAGGGGTTTTGGGGTTTTGGGGTTTTGGGGTTTTGGGGTTTTGGGG